AGCCATACTCAGTATCTTCTTATGTCTTCTGGACCAGCAGACACTCCAAGAACACAAGTTGTCCTAAGTATCAGCTAATCTTCTCAGAATTCCATCTTCCCCTGCTTATATATAGTAATTTTCTACTACTTTAATTCTGTGATGCTGACAATCAAATTTTCAAGATATTTTGTCCAACTTCTCTAGTTACCTTTTGTAGAAGGGTTTAGTTATCTAATATTCCATTATCAGAAGACAAAAATCTTCCCTTTTAACTTTCCACCTAATACTAATTGTGAGTATTCCTGCTATGAACATTCACTTTTACAAGGCTAGATAGTATTTCACACAGAGGCTGAGCCGTAACTTATTTACTTGTTTCATATTCAGTGGGGCATTTTAGTTGTCTGTCTCTCCATTGCTCATCGTTCTCCATTATAGACAGTGGAATCTCCTCTAACTAGTGTAAGTGAAAGAGGATTCCACTCTCCCTCCCCTCCCCTCCCCTTCTCTCTCAGTATTGAACTAGGGTCTTCTGCATGCTAGCCAATGCTCTATCACTGAAATGCACCTCCAGATCTCAGAGGGAGATTTCTAACAAAGTTAGGTAGCATTGTTTTAGGCAGGACCAGAAAGAAGGCTAGGGTTGGGTACCACTCAGCCAGGAACAGTAGATGGAACATTCCTTTTCATATCTTGGTGGCTGCTACCTGTTTCTTGGTAGCTAGGAAACGGAGGGCATGGTAGAACCTGCATTTGACCTGCCCCACAAGACCCTGGTATCACTACCATCATGCCCCCTCAACAAACCTGCTTCCCATCTTGCGAGGTGCATCTCTTTGACAGAACTTAGCTATGCAGGGAAACCTAGTATGCAGGATTTGGCTCAGCCGTAGAGGAAGGGATGCTGGGAGGGCTGGGACAGGATTAATAAGTCAAGCCCTTGGACTCAATGTCTTTCCTCTGCAACTTGATGCTCAGCTCTCTCCAGCCACAGTCTCTCCAATGTGTCTCTTTTGGGACTTCTTTCCTCTTGAGGGGCCTCAGAGTTGGTGGAAAATGTAGGGCCGCCCTCTGTGACCAATACCAATTTTGACTGTTTCTCCTTTTGGTTTTTACTAGGTAGCAAAACCAGATAGGAGAGAAGTGAATAGGAACAGGAGCCATAGAGGACAAAGTGCCACTGAAGTTTAGGTATGGCCCCAGTTCATTTTCTGCCACTATAGCAGTACTACAGATTGGGTAAGTCATAAAGAATAGATATTAGTTCTTTAGAGTTCTGGAGGCCAGGATGTCCAAGAATGTGGCACTGCATCTGGTGAGAGCTTTGTGCTGTCACAGCACATGGCAAGGCAGCAAGTGGCAACAAGAGACAGGAAGACAGCCAAGCCTATCCTCTTATCAGGAGCCCACCCCTGAGGTAATCCACCCACAGCCAGGTAACAGCATTAATCCATCCATGAGGGTAAGGCCTCCACAACCTGATCACCTCTTAAACGTCCCACCTTCAAGGTCACCGCAGTGGCAATTAACTCTCAACATGAATTTTGGAGGGGTCCTTCACATCACAGAATGGGGAGAAACGGCACTAGAAAGAGGAAGGGTCCTCTGCACTCACCCCTCCCCCACTGCCATATAGGTAGCTGTAAAAGGGTGATGATGTATTGTTTGGTGGTGTGACCTTAGACACAGTCCTGTACAACACTGGCATCTCATGTAGGGTGACATTCTGTGAATTGGAATGTTCACAGATGTATTCTCAATGGTTTGTAAATTTTCTGAGGCTTTTTTTGACAGGATTTGAACTCAGGGCCTCTACCACTTATGCCACATGACCAGTCCCTTTTGTTTTATTTTTCAGATAGGGTTTCATTTTCTTTTGCCTGAGGCTGGCCTCAGGCCATGATCATCCCAAGTAGCTGAAGTTTACAGGTGTATGCTACAACACCAGTTTATTTTTTTGAGATAGGGTATCATTAACTTTTTGGCCTGGTCTGGCTTCAAACTGTAATCTTCCTATGTAGTTGGAATTATAGGTGTGAGTCACCATGCCTGGCCCTGTTCTCATGTTAAAAAATTATGAAGTATTTGATAATACAGAAGAAAATATATGCATTTATCACAGGCCATAATAAGAGAAACATCCATGAACACAGCATCCAAATTATGAAGCAGAACATCAGTGAAATTAATGCCTCTTCCTAGTCCCCTGCTTCCTCCAAACCAGTGGGGCACTGCCACTGCCCAGGTCCTATGAGAAACTCCCCAGAGGTGCTGTGTGGCCATGACCTTGACGTCAGACAGCAGGCAGGGCCCACCTGAACTTGCCATGAGTCAGGTCGATGGGAAATGAAAGAAGCTTAGAGAAGGGACAGGAGACTCTGCCTCTGCCAAAAACTGGACTTCCTGGATTCGAATCCCAGCTCTGCCTCTTATTACCTGTGGGGACAGCAACCAAGTTACTCAACGTGCTGTGCCTGTTTCCTGTCTGTGAAATGGGAACAATCACAGGACCTATCTCAGAGGCTGATGTTTGCAGACAGTTCAGTGGAGCATTGGAGCACAGCTTGGAAGACAGTGAGCACTCAGTAGGTAACGCTTTGTCACTACTGATACTAAAGCATGAGATGACTGGAATGGGCACAGCAGCATGCAGTCAGGAAGCAAGAGAACAGACAGACTGACACACCTTGGGAGTCTTCCAACCTCCCCGAGGGGGGTCCCTGAACCTGCTGTGGGAGGTGGCACTGCCCCACCTCTTGACTCCCTGTTTGTTCCCTCTGGAAGCCAGGTACTGGGGCAGGATGCCAAGGGAGGCAGGTTATCCAGGGGCAGCTGGGGAGTGCCTGGACACCCCTAGACATAGCTCCTCCAGGAAGGTCTGAGGAGCTGGCCTCAAGGCCTTGATTTGGCAATAGGCTCCACATCTGAGGAAGGCCTTGTGTGGACACATTTTAATGCCTTTTCAAAACACGTAATCCGGGATTAGATGCCCACTTGCATGGCCTTTGTCTGTTCTGTGTGGAGGGAGGCAGCAATGTGAGTTAATAAATGCTGGAGGAACCAGGGAATGCCAGGGGGATTGGGCTGAGTCCATGGTGGGGAGCATTTCCTGAGCAGACAGCTCAGGGCCTGAGGGGCCAGATTGCTTTGCCTAAGACACTCTTTGTTTCCCCTGCGACAAGGCCTTCATTTCACCTTCTACAGTCTTAGTTGGGGTGCTGTATTAGCTAGTCATCAGTCACCCAAAACAAGAGGCACGGCAGACCTTCCGTGGGCTCACATTCCTGGTGATGAAGGGTACAGTCTCCAAGCTGTGAGTAAACCACGGGCATGCTTTAGGGAAAATGCTGTACAGTGGTTCTGTGCAACCTGCTGAGCAGTGCACCTGGGCACTTGTCGGACGCTGTGCTCAGACCCACCTCAGTGCTCAAGTGTCTACTCTGGGGCCGGGGACCAGGCCTGCTTCACAAGCCCCCTGATCTGTGGTGCGCTCTCAAAGAGCATCCAGACAACTTTGGGGAGGGAGCTGAGGCTGACAGGCACAAGCCAACTCCATTTGTCACTCTCCCACTGGGGCTCTTCCTTTGCTTCAGCTTCCTCATCGAGCAATTGAACACAACATCTCCCCTATCTGCACCTCAGGATTGGTGTAAAAAGTCCTAAGACGCTATACATAAGAATTCTTTGAAAGCATTAAATGTCTCACAAAGGATACAAATGCTCCTGTCACCTGCCCTCACCCCCATTACTGATTTAAGAGCATCAAGAGCAGGAGGCTGTATCGCAGAGGTTTTCACTGTGGAACCCCCCCAGATTCAGGGGACCCTAAAATCACCTGTGAGTTCCTTCAAAACTGAGCAACTGAGCAGAAAGGTGTATGTCTCCTGGAGACCATTTAATACCCCCCAGGGCCAAGCAGCACTGATGGCTTCCCATCCTACCCCACGGCACATCTGTGACCCTCTTAAGCACTTCCTGGAAACCCCTGGGTAAGAAAGGGCAATGGGATCAGAAGTTAGAGAGCCAAATATAGAACTGTGAACTGTGGCGCTGCCTGAGCCTGTCCTTCTCTCCAGGGGTTTTCCACATTTCCTCATGAATAATGTACTATGACTGAACACAGGTGCATGGAAAGGGGCAAAGGTGACTGCACCATTCAGTCCCCAGGAGGGGTCGAGCAAGGTGATCAACAGGCCAGGAGCAGTCACTCTGTTCAACCACTTCATTTGTATCTCTATTAATCCTGACAGCACCTTCATCAGGGAGTTTTTGTTTTGAGACGGAGTTTTGCTATATAGCCCAGGTTGGCTTTGAACTTGCAATCTTCTGCCTCGGCTTTCCAAGTACTAGGATTCCAGAAGTATGCCGCTGTGCCTGGTCTATCATGTAGTTCTTAAACCGATTTGTACGTGTCAAGACAGACCAGATGTGGAATAGCTTCGCCCAAAAGGGGAAAGGTGGAGCTGGGATTCAAACCCAGGTCTGTGTGATGCCAGCACTCTGTGGTGACATGTCACACAGGCACCTGAGATGGAGGCCACAGACGAGGCAGAGTGTCCTGAGACGGTGGACTTCGAGGTGCGTGTAACAACGGAAACCTCAAGTTTTAAATAAAAGGTAAAGCTTCTCAAATTGTGGGATCTCTCCTCAAAGAAGGAAAGGAGTTCTGTCACATGCTATGCCGGGGATGAACCTTGAGGACACCAGGCCAAACACAATAAGCAGGGAGAAAGACAAATATTGTGTACAAGTCTATTTACAGGAAGAGTTGCACAGTAATTGCTTGGGACTCGGTGCTTACTGGGTAGTTTGTTTTACTGGGTGAAATTTTGAGATGAACTCCAGAATCCACAGTAGCGTGGAGGTGGAAGTGTTTAATTCTGCAGGAAGTGTACACGTACGATGAACAAGGTGGCAAATGTTGTGTTGTTTATTTTACAATCAGAAAAAAAAAAAAAACGGGAGATAAGGTTTCAAAGAAGCAGCTGTGGAGCCACTGATGTCATGCCCTCCTACCTTCCATGGCCCCACACCTGCCAGCACCCAGGAGCCCCTGCCAAATCCTGCCCTGGGTCCAACTAGCTGTGGAGAGGAGGCAGCAGGGACGCAGACCCACACAAGCAAGGTGCCTCATCATATAATATCCCTGGAACATGGCTGGGGCTCTGAAGCCCCACCTGCACCTGTGTCCTCACCCCCAACCTTTCCATTCTACCCCGAGGTTGCTGGCTCCTAAGGGACACAGCGGCGAGGATTCCTCTCTGGTGGTTTGACCTCTTTAGGTCCCAAGAAGAAAGAACTCCCTTGATATGGTCTTCTTGGATATTTATAAACATGGTTAGGCTGTGATAACAGGAGATAGGATGTGTAATCTGCAGGGCACAGGATAATTCAGATAGCATCAAGACAGGAAACTGAATTAAGTTTCATTTATTCTAGGGCAAACTCAAAAGGGACTTTTTTTGTTGTTTTCTTTTTTAGCAAATCCTAGCACATTATTAACAAAAAAATATGTACATTTGCCATGATACACTTGGAAGTGAAACAAATAAGATATAAATACAGATATGGATGTAACATGAAAAAGCCCCCCCCCAAAAAAACCCCAAAATAAAACAAAAAACACCCAACTTGGGGGTGTGGGGACCATGCGTGTGAACACAGTGCCAACAAAACTATTTTGGTGGCTGATTTTTTTGAGAACATTGCTTTTTCCATTTCCAACGTTATTAGCAGAGTTCTGGTGGGGTTCTACAAAGTTCTTATTTGCTGTCTTTTGAAAGTGTAACATTATGCTTGGTAAGTAAAGGGTGGTGGGGAAAGAAAAAGGTTTATGAGACAAACTGGTTGCATTACCTGCACAAGGTGTTGGTAAGCGAGTGGTGAGCCATAGAAAAGGCAGGCCCGGCCATCTCCTGAACCCCTGAACCTCCCGAACTGGGTCTGCAAAGCACACACAGTGCACTTGAAAGCCGCAGGCCTCTAGGGCGCCTGCCCAACAGTGGCTGGAAGCAGCAGCTTGAAGGGAAGCAGGAAGTCAGGTTCAGGTGAATGGCTCCCTGGCCACAGGGTAGGGGGTTAGAGGCTCTGCACAGTCAGGTAGATGGGAGGCAAACAGTTCTGGGCTGTCATCTGAACAGGAGCCCTGCAGAGAGGCGGCAAGGCAAGGCAAGGCAGCTGCAGCGTTCGGGTTGGAGGGTGTGGTGGACGCAGTCACCCTCTGTGAGGTGGTGGCGGCATGCGAGTCTCCTCGGCGCGATGGGCAGCAGTTCTCAGATTGAGGCCAAGAGACGTGAAAAGTGATTGTATCTCTCTCTAATCAGGAGATCTGAAGGGTGGCAAGTGACATTCGAGGCTAGCCCTTTGTAGGTACTGTAAGGACATCAGGCAATGATCCTGAGTCTTCCAACTATGCTGGGACCATGGTGACCTTCTGGGAGTCAGAGAACTCCAGAGAAGGGTCTTTTTAACCGGATTAGGCATAAGAAACCTGGCCTAAACACACAGTTCTACAATAGGGGAGTGCCACAAGACTCTTGTGGAGTGTAAAAGGAAATCCTGTTCATGAACTATCAACAAACAAACAGTATTTATCACCAAAAGTAAGGCCTGGTCTTGCTAGGTTTGGAGCCAAAATCACTAAATAATAGTAAACTGCTTAAAATGCACCCCTGAAGTTCCCTGAACAGCAGTGGGGCACACGTCACATGCCTAAGATCCTCCCCTCTGCCCCCAAGTACACTCGGATGGTGTAGGGCCTTCATTTTCAGTGCCTAGTTCCAAACACGACATCTGTCTTCACAACTCCCTCATCCAATCTGGAGGGTCAAAGCGAGGGGATGGAATCTGGGTGAGAACTGCATACCTGGGTGCCCCAGCCTCTGGTTCAGGTCTAGTGGCTGCAGGGCCTCTGCACTGCAACAGCCAACACCTCGATAAAATTAACCTCAAGAGAAACCTTGTCCTGGGCATAGTTGCACGCCTGTAATCCCAGCAAGACACTGAGGGATGAGGACTGTGAGTGTGAGACCAGCCTGGGCTACAGAACAAGAACCTGTCCAAAAATAAGGTCTTTTTTTCATGGAAAAAATCAGCTCAATTACAATAAGTAACAACAGAAGGCTTCATGACTACATTAAGAATTGCCATGTGGCTTAAGAATTTTATTCAAAACTTTACCAGACTCCAAATCCATAGTTACTTTCTTTGGAGCAAGCAGTCCTTCAAGAGGTTTCTTCTTTCTTTTTTTTAAAAAGGTGGCCCCAGGGGCTTTCCAGGGAAGGAAACTGACTTTAAAAGTTTCAAATCCTAGTGTTCTACAATCCACCACTCATCATGATTACTTTTTCCTTGACTATTTTAACAATGAAGGAAGTCTTTTGGCTTATAGAATTAAAGAGAATGATTCTGATACCCGCTATTTCTAGATTTTCCTTGCTCTTAATCCCAAATTAAAAAGAAGCCAAAACTGGGATGGCGAAGTTGTTGTTCGCCAGATTGAGAAGGTCTAGAATCAAGTAACTCAGGCAAAGTGAGGGGAGAAGACAGTACAAATCTGAATCACCAGTCTGGGGCCCTAAGACAGTCCTCCTTACAACAGCATCTCACACATGGTCTTCTCAGACACTTCTCTTACCCTGTGTGCATCATGAAATGCCACCCTCAACTGATGCTAATTAGCTTTATGTTAGCATCTGGGACCAAAACTTTGAGAAGTCTTTCCAAAGGCAGCTCTGGGGTAGGGACCCATCAGTGGAGTTGCTTAGATGGAGCTGGGAGGAGACTGGGGATGCCTGATTCTATGCTGACAGCCAGGGCAGCAGGCCAGCTTTAGGCTTTTTCCTTTTCTTGCTGAGACTTGAGCTCTACTTTCAGAAGGTCTCAAAACACAACCTAAGGACATACAACCTTTCCCAGTGTCAGCTGGGAAAAGGGTGGAACTTTGCCCCACACAGGCCACACTTGTAGGAACATAAGCTACGAATGAGGAACAAAAGGGAACATCCAACCCCAACCCCAAAGCTGTCATTAACTGAAAAAAAAAATTGCTACTATCTACCAGGTAGTAGTAGCTCTGGCTACAGAGCTCTGGTTTCTAAGAACTGCGCCCCACACACATGGTTTGGTGATATCAGCAGGCGGTACAAGACGTGTAAGTATGGCTCTTCGTTTCTCATTCCTTTTGTTTCTATGCAGACTGCAATACAGGCCTTGCTTCCATTACATTCAATACCAGTAAGATTCTACACAAAAGCTGGAAGGGAACAAAATACTGATTGTAATAAATATGTACGCCTCCGTGCACTGACTGGGCAGCCGGTAGGGATTCTCTGAGGCACCACCAATCATGTCTGGTCTGCAGACTGGTGTTGCCACTAGCTGTGCGTGGACACATCAGAGGAGGAGCTGCTGTTGCTGTTGGTGGTCTGGGCCCTCTTTATGTATAAGTTTAGTAGCTTCATCTGCAGAGAGAAGACACAAATGAGTGAGCAGGAGGAAAAGCAACCACAAAGTAGAAGATGGGAAAAGAATAACTCAGGTGGGAACCTGAAAGTAGCTTCTCCCCAATCCCCATGGCTGGGGACTCATTGCACAGCTACTGAGCACTAATGTGTCTGGAGGGACTGGGACCTCCGATGGGGAGGAAAGGAGAGAAAAGCAGTGGGCGACTGCAAAAGAATGGCAAATATCGCAACATGGAGGGCCCAGGGCACCAGGTGAGAGTGTAGGAGAAGCAGGCCACATATAACGAGGGTGGCTGCAGTCCAATGGCTTCATCAGAGCTGGGGGTGGGGTAGGAAGGAGGTGGAATCCCACTCAGAGGGTCAAAGGAGCCAGGCCAAGGTCAAAGTGGCTAACTTCCGCACCCATGCTGAAGCCACTTCTTCCCCAGCACCTGCCAGTGGAAGCTCACAGCACCAGACCTATTTCAATGGCTCCTAAACAAAGCCTTCCCTGATCCAAATCAGATGGGACCATTCCTTCCTTCCATGCCTGTGGCTTTGGCCCCCATCTGGACTCTGTGTAGAAGCCTCATGCTACTGTTTGCAGGGGCTTGCTTGTTCCTTCCTACAAGATTAGACCTCCCTGAGGCCAGACACATCACTGCAAAGGAATGCTAACACAGACCCACGCAGTGCTGTATGACAAAAGGAGGACTTTCCAATGAGCAGTATGAAGCACCAGTCTGAAGCACCAAGCAGAGGTCAAGTCCCTCTGGTGCCCCTACTCGTACACCTAAAAGGAGCTCCCTGCTGGGATGTGTCCTTCCACACATTGTCCCTTGTGGGTACCATACATGTGCAGAGATTGGAACACAAAGTTGTGCTGTGCCGTGCCACACAAATAGAGTGAACCAGCACCCTGGGGTCCCCACGGCAGGCCTGTGAGTGTCTTACTGTTTCTATTGCAGCCAAGTGCATCATGTTAACTCACACTGCACCCCACAGCTGCTTTTCAGTCCCTGCCTTTTGTTTTAATTCTTCTTCTTCTTTCTTTTCTTTTTTGTAGTAGGGGATAGAACCAGGGCTTGCACATGTCAAGCCAAGTGTTCTACCACTGGCTACATCCTAGCCCTTCCCTGGTGTTTAGAATCCCAAACATGCACTACAGTGGGCAGTGCCACAGTGACAAATGCCATCATGCTTAAGGCTCAACAAATCCAGTGGCATTCTAGAACCAACTCTGCCCTAACTTAGTTTTGTCACCTCAGGAAAATAATTTTCTGAGCCTTGACTTCCCCACCTGTAGAATCAAGAGCAATGAGGACAATTCTAAAGTGCTTCTGTAATCTCTGGTTCAGAGACTGTGTTCCCCCACTGTCCTTCATCAGCTTACTCCTTCTCCCCCCCACTCCCAGCCCCAGCCTGACAACTCAGTTCAGTCTCACTTCCCTAATTTTATATATGAAGGAACTAGAAAAGAAAGAACAATTAAACCCAAAGCTAGCAGAAGAAAATGATATAGACAGAACAGAGATGACTGAAATAGAGTAGAAAAATAGAAAAAAAAAAAAACCCGAAAATTGATTCTTTGAAAAGATCAACAAAACTGATAAACCTTTAACTAGATGGACTAAGAGAAAAGAGACTCAAATTACTGAAATCAGACATGGTTGTACTGAACATTATTATGGGTTCTATGGACATAAAAAGGCCTGTAAGAGAGCACTGTGAAATCAATAGGCCCATAACTGCATAACTAGATGGAACGGACAAATTTCTGCAAACATAAAATCAATTAAGATGGAATCATAACTAGTAAGAAGATTGAATCAGTAATAATCCTTCTCAAACTTTTTCCAAGAAATTACAGAACACTTCCAAACTCATTCTATAAAGCTAGCACTACCTTGATACCAAAGCCAGACAGATACTACTAGAAAATTATATACTAATATCTCTCATGAACACTGATGTAAAAATTCTCAACAAAAGTCTAGCACATGGAATTCATCAGCAAATTACAGAGACTGACCAAGTGAGATTTATTCCTGGAATGCAAGGATGGCTTGGCTTATGAAAATTAATTAATATAATACATGATGTTAACAGATTGAAGGGAAAAACCCAATAGCTTATTTTAACTAATACAGAAAAACATCTGACAGACTTCAATACTTTTTCAGGATAAAAACATTCAACAAACTAGGATTAGAAGGAAATTTACCTCAACATATTGAAAACCATATTAAAGTTCCTCTTCCTCCCCCATAATCAATGGGGAAAAGACTAGGATCAGGAAAAAATACATGTGCTCCTGCTTTCACCATTTTAACAGAGAACTAGATGTTCTACCCATAGCAATTATGCAAGGGAAAAAAACCATACAAATTGGAAAAGGTAAAATTATTTTTGTTGGTAGATGATATGGCTGGGGAGATAGCTCAGTGATACAGCATTTGCCTAGCATGGACCTGGGTTTGATCCCCAGTCCTGCAAAACAAAACAAAACAGACAACAAAAACAACAACCACATGCACATACAAAACAACCAAAACAAAGAAAAGTCAGCAAAAAGTAAATTAAGAAAATAATTCGTGTATGATATATCAAAAAGAATAATTAGGAATTAACAAGGCAGTAAAAGATTCATATACTTAAAACCACAAAATGTGGTTTAATTAAAGATGACACATATAAATGGAAAAATGTCCCATGTTCATGGACTGGAAGACTTAATAGGATATCAATACTATCCAAACTGATACACTTATTTGATGTAATCTACATCAAAATCTTAATGAAGGTTTTGCTGAAATTTATGAATCAATCCTAAGATACATATGGAATCTCAAGAGATCCTGATTTGTTCTTAAAAAGAGCAAGTCTGGAGGGCTCACACTTCTGATTTCACTGCACAACAAAGTTACAAAACAGTGTGGCATTGGCATAAAGCCGTACATATAAATCAGTGGGACAGAACAGAGAGCTCAGAGACAAACCCTCATACAGATGGTTGAATGAGTTTTGACAACGTGTCAAGGTTGAAAGAAGATCATCTTTTCAACAAATGATGCTGGGAAATGGATATCCACATGAAAGAGAATGAAGTTCAACCTTTATCTAATACCATGTACAAACATTAACCCCCAATGGATCAGAGATCTCAAAGTAAGAGCTTAAAATATAAAACTCTTAGAAGGAAACAGGATAAAAGCTTCAGAATGGTGGCTATGATTTCTTGGGTAGCACACCAAAGGTACAGGCAACAACAACAACAAAAAATAGACAAATTGGACTTCAGGAAATGTTTAAAAATTGTGTATCGGCAGACACTATTAACGGAGTAAAAAGGTGACGCACAGAATGGGAGAAAATATGTACAAATCATGTATCTGGTAAGGGTCTGACTTCTCCATTTAAAAAATCCAATTCCCTTAGTGAACAGTGTCTTCCTCACTGTCACCATACCACCTACAAATCCCTGATGAAGGTTGAAGGAGTGAGGAAGGTTCCTGGCCCTGCACAGGCTGTGCAACTCCCACTAGCATTTTTCAAATGGTGGTTAGGGAAGTGATCTGACAAGGAGCCCTGCTGGGAGAAGAGAAGAAACTGAGACTGGAACCAGGTAAGGCAGCCCAAATCATCTATTCACATCTCCTTTGGACCATTCTCAGTTGGGGGTAATGCTACTCTTCCGGGGTCATCTTGTCCTGGGTGGACACACTAGTGCTATTGCTTTCTAGGTGGTCGTGGTCAGGGCTGCTGTTTGTCAACCCTTGGACAGCCCCTCCATATCCAAGTGGCCCACAGTATTGATGGTGCTGAGGGTGGGGAGCCCTGCTCTGAGGAGGGCATCACAGCTGTCTGTCCAGAAATCTGGGGAAGCTAGGCTCTGACTGATGCTCTGCAGCTGTGTCAAAGAAGAAATGGGCCCCACTGGCTGATTCCTTCTCTCACAAGGAGCAGGGGCAGGTGTCTCTAGCTTCATGCTTTCCACTGGTTGTGTTTGGTAGAGCAGGTTGTATGTGCATCTAGGCCAAAGGATTTTTCAACTCCTGCAGGTCCCTGGAGCGGGCAACTCAGGGCAAGGCCTCAGGTGCCCAAAGCCCAGCCAGCCTCCTCTCTGAAGTCAAGGTCCACTTCCCGACCATGCCTCTCTTGCCATAGCATGGAGGTTTCTACCTGCTCTCATATAGTCTGGCACATCAGATTTGACTTCCTTTTTAGAAAATTTTAAACCAAAAGGCACCTTTAACTACTCTCATCTTCAATAATCTCAGTCATTTTGGTCCATTTCCTTCCCCTTAATTCTAAACACTTGTAAAAGAACATGAGAGGCAGTGACATGAACTCAGCTCCCAGAGTCCAATCTCTGTGTACCCTTGACCTGGCTAGAGACATGACGGTATTTATCCCTTAGGGATGTCAACAGGAAGACAATTCACCATGTACCTGGGGTACAGCAGGCACAGAGGCAAGGCCACTATTCCTACTATGGATATCCACAAGGATCTCCATTCTGATTCAGCAATTTGCTAAGTGCTTAGGTACATTTTCTTAGTGACTGAGTGAGAAAAATCTAGTTTCCAAAGTTGTTTTTCTTTTGTGAATAAACTAGAAGCTAAGTTGTCTTTTCAAAAACAGAGTTAATATTGAGGGGGGGGAGCGGGAGGGGGTGGAGTGGGTGGTAAGGGAGGGGGTGGGGGCAGGGGGGAGAAATGAACCAAGCCTTGTATGCACATGTGAATAATAAAAGAAAAATGAAAAATAAAATAAAATCACTTCCAGAAAAAAAAAAATAACAACAGTTAAAATGGAGGATTTGTGTATCATGTTAGTGCCACCTTAAGATGACTTCATCACATAACTGGTCATTTTTGCCTTAGAAAATTGTTTTTTTGAGAAATAGGGTCCAGCTGAAACATACCCAATGAGAAAATTCTGCCTGGAGCCAAGGGGCTCATGACAAGCTGGCAGGGTCCAGGTGTGGATATCACAGGTAACACTATACATACCTTGCTCCCGGTGAGCTGTGCGAGGTGAGGTTTCAGATCTTCTCCGATTACGGAATAAATTGCCACTAAGCAAAACACACTGGCCTTACGCACACTGCTTTCAGTGTTGTCATAACCCTAGTGAGCCAAAGGGGACACAAAAAAGAAAGCAGATCAAAGACTCGCCTCAGTCAGGATTTTAGTAACACTTCCACAAATGCCCTCAGAGTTCAACCTTGGACTTGTCAGTCGTAACCAGGTATGCCTCAGACCCACAACTGAAACCAGAGATTTTTACCCCAAAGAAGTCGAAACTGACTAGTGTCAAGAGTGACCTGGTTCCTGGAGGCAGGAGGAGGCAAGTGCCAGGTGGGCCTGCCTCTACACAGGCACCATTCTGTATTATGCAGCCACCCAGAAGGTGGCATGAAGAGACAGAATGAACAAGGAAACTAAAGGGAAAAATCACCTGCTTCATCCACATTTCTCCTAATGGTAAGGCAAGTTTCCTGTGTGAAATGCCTTTAGGGCATTTAGTGGCTCAAGTTGTAGAGCCCTGTCTAGCAAACATGAGGCTCTGAGTTCAGACGCCATACCATCAAAGAAAAGAAAAAAAAAAAAGAAAAAGAAAATGCCTTTAATGAAAAGAGAACAACACCATTCACTCTTGAGAGCAAAACCTCTCTACCCTCCAACAAGTTCTGGGGCCTTCCATGACCCTCACCCCAACTCAAATGGGGCCACCTACTGGTCTCCAAGCAACCCTTGCAACTACTCAGCCTTCCTGCCTCTCTCTCTGTCTGGAATAATCCAGTCCTCAACAAATAAGTGTCTCAAGAAGTAAGTGCTCAGCAAACAGCAGTGTGTAAATGGGAAGTGGTTCCTCTTTCCCTTTCTTCACTGAACCACCCTCCCAAACTGGAAGCCACATCTGTACTGTGGTACAGCGATAGCACTGTTGCCCACAGTTGCTGTGTGGCTGCATCATGTCCTGTAGCAGGCTGGAAAGCCCTTGAGGAAATGTCACCCAGTGAAACACATCTCCTGTCCATCAAAGTCTGTCTAGCTCACTGCCTTGTGTACAAGAGCTTCACTAGGTTTTTGCTGGATACATGAGGGCGAGGACCTTGTCTGATGTACACGTCATGACTCTCCTGGCCCCACAGAAGGTATGAATAAGGGTGTGTTGAAGGAATAAACAAAAAGAAATGACCAAAATATGTTTATACTAAACAGAAAGTTCATTCTGTGAGCCAGAGTTCTGGGCTGCTAGGAGTCTTCCTGTTGCATGCAGGAGCATGAGATTAGAAGACAAAGGTCCTAATCAAAGGGCCGTTACTGGCAATTTCCCATCTGCCAGAGCACAGTCCCTGTGACTTCAAGTTAGCAGCTCCTGCCTCTAGCCTCAGCCCTAGGAAGCCTGGAGCGATGACACCCACCTGCAGCAAGCCTGGGATGATATCAGCGAGCAGCTGAAGTAAGGACTCCTTGGCGATTCTTTCAACAACTTTGGTCTGCATCTTGATGGCGGCCAGGTTGATGGGGTAGTCGGCCGTCTGGATGATGGGGCACAGCACTTTGATGCACTGCTCTGGGTGGATAGAGCTGGCCAGCGTGGATGCAGCCTCCTCAGCAGCCCTCACCACCTGAAACACACAGTTCCCTGAGTGAGTCCCAGCTGCTCCAAAGAAGAAAGACCAAACACCTCTTCTGCTCACTTCAGAGGCCAAATGCAATGATCCCACTTAGTGAAACACACAGCCTTACTTGCACTGGCTAATACTGTTCTAGAAAGTGAAAGCGGAAGAACTGGAGGGGAATTTTAAAGGGGAGTATGGGATGAGGAAAGACAAGCGTGGGGAATTCTGGGAAAGCCAGCAGAGCTCTCCAAGTGTAGTGCTGTCTCCCTTTACCCCGGTCCCCGCCCAGCATGTCATTAGTAACATGGCTTCTCAGCCCACCTCAGCCCTCTGGGCTGACTGTAGGTGGTGTGGTGTTAAGCCCTTTGTGAATCTTAACACTGACACTGGAGAATCTCAGCCCTAGAAGATTAGGACGTGAAAGCACAAGAGCTTCCTGAGGGCTTGGACGTAATCAGTGCCTTCAGTGTTGAGTGTTCCCTCTAAGGGGCTGAACAGTAAGGCATCTGGCCTGCTCCAGAGTGGCTTCTGGAGTGTTTTCCTGGGAAGTCTCTTGTGGAAGTAGCTTTTCCAGGAATCTGTGTGCAGGATGCTCCTCTTACCTTGCGATTTTAAAAAAGGGCATGAAATGACAGCCTCAGGGCCAAAGGAGCATCTCTGACCTCTGCAGAACCACAAAGGGCCTCTCATAGTAAAGACAGGAACTATGTGAAAAACCTACTGAGGTAGAAGACTGTGCACAAGGTGTGGGAGAAAGAACTGGCTGGAGCTTTGGGAGCTGACCCAAACCCCAGTCACACAGTCTCAAGTGCTAACGTTCCCTTTCCCACCTGTAAAATGGGGGCATCTCAGAAGTGAATGATGAATAGTAAATGATTCTTTCTACTAGTGAGGGCATCACACATGTATTATGCAAATAATATGTAAAATAAAGATAGCAAACTATAAACAGGTATGCATTTTCTGTGGAGTACAAGGAAAATTAAGTGCTTTTCTCCTATGGCCAGCTCTGGACTGCACATTCCATGCAGATCCCTTTGTGTTCTGTAGCTCAAAATAACTCAGTTCTATCTTTACATAGCAGCATGACAAAGACTACTAACCTGAAGCTTCAATCATGCCTGTCCTTGTGACTTAAGCAGACTTAACCCCTGAAAATGGCATGCAGACCATCTGGAAAGCAGATTCTGCTTGTGGGCATGAACCAGGGAAGAAGCCAGAGCATACGAGGATGAGCTGGGAGGGCCCTCAGAGAGGCGACCTGAGTGGAGGCCAGGAAGGCCAGACCTGGTTTAGGTCATGTTGGGGCCCTGATGGAGGTGCTGCCTATTACCTGAACCCCAGAACTGTCTCCCCAGGAGGGGCAGGGCTAGACCTTGGGGCCCCCCCAGCTATGGCTCCAGATGGGGCTCAGTCTTGCCTTCAGTCTGGGGTTACACTGCCCTGCAAATAGGGCTCAATTAGGGAGAATGCCTCACTGGTCTGTGTGTAGGTTCTAATCTGTGAGACAGCCTCAACAGTTGTGCTCATCTCATTTAATAATCAACACACTGCAGGTTGGCCAGGCTGCCAATCACAGTGGGCTTTTCACTGTGGAACTCCATATGTCAACGGCTACTCAATGTTACTGCCATTGACCACAATATAAACCTGGGATGAAATGCATGAAAGACAACACTCCTTATCTTATGGTGGCAGGTTATGGGTGCCTTTTTTTTTTTTTTTTTACACTTCTGTATTGAAAAATTGCAATAAAAATGACATTAACCTTCCTAGAAAGGGAACTGCATTGGTAACAATCTACCTGAAGTAGATTGAGACCAGGGGAAGTTATGGTCAGTCCAGCTTGGGCTCAGGAGGTAGCTGGCAGAGGGCCGCACTTGAGCAGGCAGCCCCTCAGATGCTGGCCTGTACTGCTTCACAACTCTGGCATAGGGCAGGTGCTCCATGGTGACACTAGTGCTATATAATCACTGTAACAGTCACGACTGTTCCTGCTTATGGCTCACTGCACCCAGACTCTCCTTTGCTGAGCCAGGACAAGCACCATCCTTTACATGTGGGCTGCCTGCTCTCTGGCCTCCCTGTCCGTCCTGCATGGCATCAGAGACAGACAACATTCCTAGTGACATTTTCATGCATGTTTCTTCTTACCTATATGCAGCTGCACTCTTCCCTGCATGACCCAGTATGCAGGAAGGCTGGGCACTGGCCAGGAGTTCAGTACTTACTGATAGTCTGAGCTCCACTCCTGTCTGCCTGAGGACATGTCCCCGTCCAAAGAAGCCTTTTCTCCCTGAGGTATGAACCTCACAATTCTTTCTTGTTGGTGGCCTTTTGAACTTTCCCGAGGGAGGTCTGCTATTTCTTTGTGGCACTTACCACAGGGTAAGGAGTTTCAAGAAATAAGGTCACTGACTCCATCATCACCTGGTGGACACAATGTACACATCTGGTGGAAGCCACACAAGGGTTATATACCGACCCATTTGGCCAAAACTGAGTCCTGATCAGCATGGATGAAAATACATGTCAGAAAACAGGTGTTAAAAACACCCAAGTTTTTTTTTTTTTTTAATTTTGAGACAAGATCTCTATATAGTTCAGGCTGGCCTGGAACTTGTGATCCTCCTGCCTTGGCCTCCCAGGCCTGCACCACCATGCCTGGCTACATCCAAGCTTCTAACATTCTTACAAACTTAAAAGCCTCAGCTATTTTTTTTCTACCATCCTTTCTCTTGCTTTCCATGTGTGCTATGTTGAATGCGTGTACAAGCACACGTGCTCACCCATGACTGACCAGTTGCTTCCTGTGTGTTAGGGATTGGACACTGTCTGTGTAGAGGGGCAGCATGAGGATGCAAAGGCCCAGAACATGTCCCTTGGGCAGGGGAAGGTGTCTGCCACCTGGTACACTTCCTGCAGTTGACCAGGATTAGACAAGTGGAGGCTGGTGAGGGATGAGAAATGAGATGGATCTCTGCAGAGGGCTTCTCTGGTGCTCTGCAGGGCTTCCTCCAGCTCAATGGCCCTTGGCAAGCACCCGTCTCTGCCCCATCCAGGCAGCAGGCTTAGCTTCCCAGGCACTTCGGTACATACGAACAAGCATTCCCTCCTCAGTAAGTGTTGACTTAGTCACACCATTCATAGGAAGCACACTATTTAAAAAAGCCTACTGTAGCTTTTTTCTTCCTGCCAACTTAATTTCCTACAAAGGACATCTGTTCCCACACAGATGTTCTGAAAGCTGAGTGATGTTTGGCCCTGTGCATGTGAATTACCTTTAACCTGCTGCTCCAGGAAGGAGCAAGCACACTCTTGGTCTCTGGCAGCAGAGTTGCAGACAGGCCTCAGTCCAGGGCTCTGGCAAGATACTTGCTCAGTCTGTGCCTCAGTTGTTTTAAACTCTGTGAGGGGGACTCAAACCACTTATGGTCACAGTTTCTGAGCTAGGAGAGGTCACATGCAACTAACTTGGCACATTCCAGCTATAAAACACACCTGGCTCTAAGCCAGGTCTGGTGGAGGGTCAACATGAGAAGTAGAGGGTGGCAGCAGTGTTGCTACCAGGAGGCTGAGCAGCCATCCAGGGGCTGTTGGGTACTGGAGAATGGAGTTCTGTTCCCATGAGTCTCCAGAGGACACTCATCATGTCCAACACTCTGAGAGGGAACCGGTCCCTTCCCTGTAGTCCAGTGCCTGCATAAGGATGGGTCTGTCCTCTCCCACAGTCTCTCCAATACTACCTTGAGGCTGAGGCCCAGGTCTTCAGTGAGGCCGGCTCCTTTCTTGTCCTATCCTCACTCATGTCCTTCACCCAGCTGGTCCAGGACATCCTTCAGGACTCAGTCCACCCCACCCCCTAACTCCAGGAGATCTCATGTAAACATTTTGCTGAAACTGCCTCTCCCACTGGATGAAAAGTTCCCTGAGGGCAAGATCCCATCTCAGTCATCTCTCTATCCCCAGCCCAGGTACAATGTTGACCTCACATGAGGTGCTCACTAAATGTTTATCAAACTCATCTCCTCACAGTGGACACATTTTCCCCCATAGCATACAAGTCCCCTCAGGTGTATGCCACACTTACATTTTTCAAGGAAGAAGTTAGCACAGAACACAAGGAGGAAGGCAAGACATCTGCAAATGTCCAACCTGAGCCTTACACAAAAATCGACTGCATGAGGCCCAGAAGTCCCAGGTGACAAATGCAAGTACAACAGACTAGTTTTTCGGCAGAGAGACAAGTTCTGAGTAGTTTTCCAGTAATCAGTTGTTTGAAGAAGGGGGCGCTCCATCAGGCACCAAGTTCTTTCCTCCTCAGTCCACCTCTTTAGGTTGCCATGACTGTTCTAAGACCATGCATAAGAGCTCACTGGGGAGAGCCAGGCATATGGCTGAGTTCCAAACAGCTGAGCACATGGTGGGAGGTAGAAAGAGGACAGGCCCAGCAATGTGACTGTGCTCTGAAGACACTGGCTTTCTACAGCAAGAAACCACTGTGTACAAGTATCACAGCTTGTTGAGAAAGCTGAGGAGCTTTTGGATCTTAGCTTTAAAACTTGGCCCAAAAAAAGGGGAAAGGGTCAGAAAACTCTGGATGATGATTCAGTTGGTATAGGGTTGGAGGCAGCTTCGTGGGAGGCCAGCATGTGGATTTGGAGACAGTGGGAGTCAAGCCCCAGTAGTGCCTCTGTCAGTCCCAACAGAAGGAAGCTAACACCCTCTGGTACCCTTCAGGGAAGCAATGAGGATTAATGAGATGAGGCAAGGAACTGCCAGGCTCACTGTGAGAACTCAGCCATGAAGTTTTCCTTCTCTCTTTCCCATTTCTCATGTTTAACGGCCATTCAGCTTCAAGTGAATTACCCTATAAGAGAGCTGTTGGAAAACCCTTTCAGAACTGTTTAGCTGAACCCAATCCCAGGAGAAGGCTCTCTTAGGAAAGTCCAGGAATTCTAGAGGGTGCCTGCATGAAGCAATTTATTAAGTGCATCTAACAGGCC